ACCATGCGCTGTTTGTTGGCACAGGTCGACTCCAGACTCTTATACACATCTAGATGTGTATAAGAGACAGCTGCAGTTTTTGAGGTTCGGATTTGATTTGAAGCTCCCTGTTGTCTGCTATTCAAATCGTTGGTGTCTTCCGCACGTGCAAAGGGTTTTTTTTTTTTTTTTTTTTTTTTTTTTTGCCTCAAAAGTCAAAGCGTCAGGGTCTCTCAGGTCTTCATGCAGACCAACATCTTTTTTTCTTTTCTTTTCTTTTCTTTGCAATTCTTCGAAATTAAAATCTGCTCCTTTTTTTTCCTTTTAATCTTTTATCGACTCTTGTGGAAATCAATAACAGGAATAGAAGAACAATAGGGTCTTTCAAAAAAAAAAAGGAAATCTGGAAATTTGCACAGACAAGCTCGGAAAGGTAAGGAGTTCCAAAAACAACTCCGAAAGGTTAAAACTTAAAAGTTCTGAAAAAAAAAAAAAAAAAAAAAGGTCAGAAATTTGAAATTTCAAAAAAAAAAAATTGAAATTTCAGAACGATAAAAGATTTTGGATTACAGACAAACATCCAAGTCCCGATTCACACTGCACAGTACCAATCATAGGTCATAGCCTCATAGGTCATCGAGGATTGATGAAAATCACATGCCATTCATGCACATACACGGTCATGAGACAACCATGGGATTCAGATCCCATTTCCTGCATTCCGTCAGGGGTGTATTTCAAAGAGGGGTTGAAGTATGCAAAAACATTTACACGAAGCACGAGTGCATAAGAGGTTACAGGTATGGCATCCCCGACGGCGCATTTCGACAGCCACCACGCTGTCGTCAATCGTAGCCGGAGAGCGCTTTGAACGAAAAGGTCAGAAAGGGAACGAGTTCTTAAAAAACGGCTCTCTGGGGAACAGCCGCCCACAGGCTGTCATCAACCGTAAGTGGGTTTTTGGAGTCGGGCTAATGATGAACGGCGTTTTGAAATTATTCGCCTACCGGAACGGTGACCCGGAGTCGATCAGGAGGATGAATAGGATCCGAAGGAAATTTCAAATTTGAGAACTGTTACCGCGACACTCCGACTTCTGACTCTGAAACGGACTGACGACAGAACGGGTGCTTGGGACAGTTTGGGCAGCCAAATTCGTAGTCGGATCTGTTCTTTTTTTCCATACTTGGCCAGTGTGCAGAAGACCAAAACTGAGGAGAGACTGTGGACGAGTGGTGACATCACCTTTCGGACGGGCCAGGACTTTTGCCCCTGGTCCAGTTGGAAGCAAAAGCGCTTGCTTTGATTACTGGGGCTGGTTCCACCGCCTGGATCGGAACACGACGGACAGGTGCAGCATTCCGAAGCAGGTTCTGACCCTGCGGAAAGGATATCGTGCAAAGATTTTTCCGGATGATTCCTTCGGACGGGCGCTCCGCAACTTCACACGGATGCACAACGAGACGTGGAAGTTTGCATCGCAGTCGCTTGCTATGATTGTCGTAGGCAGGTGCTTGTTGTAGGCCTAGTAGTACTATAAGTAGCGCTTGCTCGCACGTCTTGTTTATCCTCTTTCAGTGAGATGGCTCGGGAGATTACTCCGAGTGAGGCGGGCGGAAGAAGTGGTGGTTCAGTTCGGGGGACGAGGAGTGGTGGGAGGAGTGCGTCAGGATACCTGGCTCTTGAGGCCGAGGTCGCCGGTTCGAATTCAAGCTTGCACGGTGGAGGAAGTCGGGCTCATGCTGGGATGGGTAGCGCCATCCTACGCAGCTAGATGTGCAGATTCACTTAGCTGCTGCGGAAGCACCCGTTAACCGCCGGGTGAGCCCGTGTCGGTGGACGGGAGGGACTACCAGTGGTAAGGATTTGTGCTGATTGGCGAGAGCAAGGTGTGCGAGCATTGCCGTGTCCACGTGGTGTTGTGTATGGTGTTGTGTGTGGTGTGTGTTGAGTTGGACACTACAGCCTTCCAGGGCTGGGGTGGATATCACGACCGGTATGGTTCCACTTTTGAACACCGTGTCCTGGCTGTAGTGGTTAAGAGACCTGGCTCTTGAGGCCGAGGTCGCCGGTTCGAATCCGTGCTGCTTGCACGGTGGAGGACGTCAGGCTCATGCTGGGATGAGTAGCGCCATCCTGTAACCTCAGCTGTGAGGGAGCAAGATGTGCAGATTCACTTAGCTGCTGCAGCTGCTGCGGTTTGAACGGGGGTTCTTGGGTGAGCTGGGCAGATGGTGGTGACTTACTTTCTCCATAAAGCTTTATTCCTGTACTTGGACTCTTTTGTCTGCGTGTACGTGATTTTTCACCTCCCTCATCAACCGTAGTCGGACACCGCTTTGAAAAAAAGGGCAGACAAAAACGTAGGGAGTTAAAACTTAAAAGAAAAGCTCAGAAAGGTGAAGGGTTCTGAAAATGTAGTAGTACGAGGTACTGGAAAGCTCTGTGCGCGGACATACGAGCAGAAGAGTGGATGTTAGAACTTGGAAGTACTTAAACCACCAGTTCTCCCACCGGTCAAACAACTGGCACTCCTGTGATTGCGCCGGGTGGGGCTAGGCCGCACAGGGCCGACTTCGGCGATTTTTAATGCACATAACTGTGACTAAAAAATCTGAAAATGATACCTACACCTGTCTCTTATACACATCTAGATGTGTATAAG